TTAATTACTAGTGATGGTGTGGAAGATTGGAACCATATTTTAGTGAAGCTTTGCTGTTTCTGAAATCTTGCAGAAGGCTGAGGATCTGAACTAAAGAAGTAGCAATGGTGGAGAGAACAGGGTCCCTTGGAAAACAAGGAAAACAGAAATGATGGAGCTTGGAGTGGGATAGACTTGAAGGTGAGAGATGAAGGCCAGCGTGATCCCCAAACTGTTAGCACTGTACCATTTACCATCACAGGGAAAGAAAGAGGAGATTAAAGCTTGAGGCACGAGATACAAGTCAAGTTTGGGACTATCTTAGTGTCATACAAGTTTTTTCATTTATAAAAGTAATATATAATGGAGGACAAAAAAGCTGGGTATGGTGGTTCTTGCCTTTAATCCTGGAACTTGGGAGGCAGAGGCAGTGTAGACAGATCTCTGGGTTTGAGGCTTCCCTGGTCTACAAAATGAGTTTCAGGACAGCTATGGCTACACAGAGAAATCCTGCCTAGAACTCCTCCATTTGCCAAAATAGATAGATAGGTCATAGATAGATTATCTAAAAGAAATATACATCTTTTGCAACAAAACAAAAATAAAACAGTTTGAAAAGAAAGATCTTTAAATTCTAGGCATGGTGGCACATATTTACTTTAATCCCAGCACTTGGAAGGCAGAAGCAGATACAAAGTGAGTTATAGGATAGGCAGATCTGCACAAAGAAACCCTGTCTCAGCTCCCACCCGTAAAAAGAAGTTAATATTTTTCTCCATTTAGTAATAGCCATTGATAAAAAATTCCAATTTGTACTATGTGGAAGAATTCATAAATTTTAAAAAGCATTAGCTGAGCCAGCTGGGCATTTTGGCACATGACTGTAACCCCACAACTTGAGAAACTAAGACAAAATCAGGAATTCAAGTCCAGCCTTGGCTACTTGGCAAGTTTAAGGCTAGCCTGGTGAATATGAGATCCAGTCTCAAAAAATGTATCACCAATTTAAGGTGCTGTATACAATATTTTTTCCACTAGGAAATATATTTAATCAATTTATGTATTTGTAATAGGGTTTTTGCTAAGTTGTCCAGACTGGCCTGGAATTTCTGGACTCAAGTCATTCTCCTGCTCTACTCTCTAAAGTAGGTGAAAATCAGGGGCGTGCCACCATATCTGACTTTTTTAAGTCCCTTTCTGTGTCATTGACTATCCCTTCACATTTTTAATTACAGCATGATATCTCGCTCCAGGGAGGACCTTCTATTTATACTATCTTCTCTATTGTGGGCATCTTTGATTTCTTTGGGATTCTGATTTTGTAACCAATCACACTGAAGCTCTCCAACTTGAATACTCCAGAAGGTGGAGCAAATGGTGGTTTTTATGGTGTAAGACAGGAACAGGGATCAGACCCTGTGAAGGGGAGAGTGAGGATGTGTGGGTAGAGTGCATAGGGGAAGCCAAATAGAAGCCAACACCAGGATCCACAGAAGACCAGCTAGCGATGTCCCTCACCAGACAGAAACAAACAGCTGAGGTTTGCTATCTCAGATCATTTAGTCACCATGGAAGACAGCTGCTCTGGGAGGGCTTGACCTCAGACGAGGCTGCCTTCTGCAGCAGAGAACACCCTAGGTGTGACAGCTGTGAATGTCTGCTGACCACACTCCCCAGTGTTGGGCTTCCCGTGTTCCTAAAGAGGACGGCTTGGGTGGGGTGTCTGCATCCGCTACAGATGTTCTCTCAGTCTCTATTTTTAATCTTTGCTCATATCTTTGGGATAAATTCCCAGGAATAGAATTCCTGGAATAGACCATGGGCATTTTTGTAACATTTGATATTTATTGTCAAATGAGTTTCCAGAAAGATAGTGGACCATAGTCAGATTTTTCTTTGAGCTGACAGCTCCCAAATAACAACACGAAGACTTATTATGAAAGTTTGACCTTAGCTTAGATTGTCCCACTAGCTCTTATAACTTAAATTAACCAATTTTTTTTTGTTAATGTGTGTTCTACCATGTGGCTTTTACTTCTCTCCTGTTTTGTGTGACTGACTCTTCTGTGTCTCCATAGCATCCTTTATGAGCCCAGATTCATTTCCTAACCCCTCTCTCTGCCCAGAAGTCCTGCCTAGCTACTGGCTGTTCAACTTTATTAGCCAATCACAACAGTATATCATCACACAGTGTACAAATACCCACACAAGTATCCCCTTTCCCATGCATAGAAAACATGGCAACTATATTGCTGGTTTACTTATTTAAGTTTTCTTTCCCCAAGATAGGGACTTGCTCTGTATCCCAGGTTGGCTGTGAACTGCCTAACCGCCTACAACAGCCTCCTGAGTACTGGACTACAGGTATGGGCCACATGCCCTCTTTGTTTTCTAAATATTGAAAAATACCCTAACTTCTCTTAGACAATAAATATTTGATGCTTAATTTTAAAAATATTTAAACATTTATTTTATGTACATATGTATATGATGTGGGAGCTAGAGGGGAATAAAAGGTAGAAGCAGGGTCTTCAGTATTCAGTAGGAGGCATTCAGTCTCCAGTCACCCTGAGGTAACTGGTAAGGCGAGTTGCTCGGGTTCCCAGGTTTGTCACTCCACATCCTGGGCTACAGAGCATGCATTAGTTAGTCACTTTTTCTCTGTGAGAAAACACCACGGCCAAAGCAATTATGGAAGAGTTTATTTTGCCTTACAGTTCCAGGGCCTTAGAGTTAGTTCATAGTAGCTGGGGAAGAACGGCAGCAGGTATCTGGAGCCTGTAGCTGAGAGAGAACATCTCCAACCACACCCAGAAAACAGAGTGTGTGAGCTGGAAGTGATGGGGAGCTGTAAACACCCAAAGCCAGCTCCCAGGGACATTCTAGAAGGTTCTGTAACCCCCCCCCCAGACAGCTGTGGACCAAGTGTTTAAATACTTGTGTCTATGGGGTGCGTTGCTCATTCAAACCATCACCACAGCAGATGCTTCAGATAGCATGAGCTTATAAAGTAACTCTAAGAGCCCTCTGTTCCTCTGCGAGGGTAATACGGATGCGCTGGTGTCTCTAAGTGGTTCAGTATTCTAGTTATTATTTTTCTCAGTGTGGTAGCACATGCCCCCAATCTCAACACTGAAGTCACCAAGGCAGGAAGATTGCCATGAATTTGAGACCATTCTAGGCTACATAGTGAGAGCTTGTCTCAAAACAACAATCCCTTCCGTTCCCTTAAATGAAACCATCTAGCATTCCATTGAGTATTTACTTCGTGTTTACTAAATACAGAGCAGTTCTCGGATAGAGAAAAGCAGAGAAACATCTTCCTGTTTTCTTCAATCCTTCCATCCTGTCTGTGGGTTTGGCCTAATAAGAATGTAGGCAGTACACAAAGATGGTCCTGTCAATGGCCTCCCACTACAGCAGGGACAATTGCATCCCTGTCAGCCAGCTCTTCTAAACAGACCCACTGATTACAGCGGGTGCAAAAAAACAAAACACAACAAAAACCAGAAAGAAAGAACTGAACCAAAATAAACCTGCGGAATAAACAGAAACCGTCACCCCAATCCAGATGGTCTTCATTCATCAGAGCAAATGGGTTCCAATCCAGCCTTAGATCTCACTTCCAGGAGGCAGGAAATTCTGAGAAAGAAGTATGTTGAGGACACCACAAGAAAGCCATAAGACGAATCCAGAAGGCAGCCTGCTTTTTTCAACACACAATGCCATTCCAAAAAAGGAAGAAGGGGGGAGAAGGAGGCCCTTCTAGGGTAAAAATTCTGCAATCAAAAGGAATGCAGATTCACTGATTGCCTCTTGGTCTAGGTAAGTCAGCTGCAAAAGATGTCTTGGGATCAGATAGGGAAATCCGAGTTGGGCTGGTTATGAATTAGCAGTTTTATTGGTTTTATTGTATATGTGAAACAGTGTTATGACAATCCAGGATGAGCTGTATAGTGTAATATTTAGGGGTGAAATGTATGTGACTTTAAGACTCTCTTTAGTAGAGAAAATGAAGCGAGGTAAGGCCAGGGGCTAACAACATTAAGCAAGGACGCTAGGCTAGTTCCTTAGGCTAGTTTCTCTGCTATACGGTCCCCTCCCCCCCAAATCAACAGCCAATCAGGAAAATAACTATGAAAGATTACTGCTGCTCTTCCAGAAAGGAAGGGCCAATCTTCTTCCCAAGGTGAAATCCTAGGTGGCCTGGCTGGGGCTTCCTGAGCCAGGAGCGAGACCCCAGGGCCCACAGGCATTGGGTCACCTGTGTACCTTGCTGGTCTGGCCCTGTGCACCCACTCAGGCCCTCTGCTCATACTGGACAACCTGTCGCCGGTGACGGTGACACTCCACGAAGGGTCAGAGTTTTGACTAAACCCCGGGTGAAGGCGGTCCAATGTCCAGAACTGAGCCAAGCAGCGGCGGGGGGGGCGGGGACGGGGACAGGGATGTCGAGGCGGGTGAAAAGCCAATTTCTTTCGGTTCACCGAACCTCTTGGGACAAGAGGGTTTCTGAAGGGCAGGTCTCTTCCTCCGGACCCACCTGCAGCCCAGGCGGAGCGGAGGCGGCCCAGGCTAGGGGACCGGCCGCGAGTGCCCAAGCCGGGACCCTCACCTGCGGCCGGAGGCCCGGGAGGTCGCGGGGACCGCGAGGCATCAGGGACGGGTCAGCGGGCTCCGTGGAGCCGGAGGGCAGTGGCGACGAGGCCAGGCGATCCGCGTCCCCGCGGGGGGAAGTTTCTTGGCCCGGAAAGGTGCAATTGTGTGCAGCTATTCCTGGTATGTCAGGCCGCAGGCTGCAGGGGCACCGCCTCCCGGGAGCCTGAGACAGGGAAGGCTGGCAGAGGCGGGAAGGATGCGGGCTGGGGAGCATCTCCCCCGCCCAAATACTCTGACCAGAGAGGTGGCAGCGAGGGCTCACCCCGGGCGAGGAGCACTGACGGAAGCTGGAACCCGCCCGCAGGGGGTGGGCTGGGGCGGGGCCACTGCTGAGGGCGGTGACAGTGCTGGCGACTTTTGAAGTTCCCAGGAGTCCAGGCTCCCGCTGCGCGCCGCTTCACGTCCCTCGCCTGCTCCGGTCCCGCTGGATTAGAGCCTATTTGAGGAGTTCCGAGAAAGCAACGCCTGAAAGTTCTGCCAGGTTCCTGAACTTAGACCGCACTTTGCAACAAAGGGAGGGGGACGCGTGGGAGTCAGGGTCCCGGAGGCGCACCCACTTAGTTGCTTTCTCCCTTTCTTGCCCTAGTCAAGGAAAGGGATGGAGGACACCGAGGCCGATTGCTCCATGGCTTTCGCAGAGGCTCAGAGATGGGTGGAGGTGAGTGTCTTTTACAGCTCTTTGCAGATGGATTTGCGCCCTCCAGTCTGGAGTCTTTTAGTGACCAGGTTCCCAGGCAATCTGAGCTTATGTCCGGTGACCTAGCGTGAGTAAAGAAGAGGCAGTTTGGGGGACCCTGCAAATTCTCCCTTTCCAGTGCCCCGATGCCTACTTTCTCCTCCGTAGGTTTTGGTGCCGTGCATCCCAGAGGACCAGTCCAGGTCCAGCTTCCTCAGTCGTATCTGTGAGGGCACTTTTTGGGAAGTAGAGGCAGAGCCAGGCCGGTGTCTTTGCGTGCATTTCTTTGGGATGCTGATGGCTTACAAGCACCTGGGCAGCCAATGCATTGTGTATGAGTGTACCCTTCAGAGTTGGGTGCTGCCCTTCCCCTCTACCCTTCATCCCCTCTGGAGTTGAAAAAGTAAAATACCCTGGGCTCTCACAGGTGCCTTGTTATTCCAGCTGTGCCCCACAGACAAGGTCTTCTGCTCCCCTTATTGTTGTGAAGGAGAGAGAGTCCCTCCTCCGTTGCCTTCGGCCTAGGCTGTTTTACTCTGGGGTTGACAAGTTGTGGGGTGGTGCGCACATGTATGTTTGTCATTGAACCCTCCACTCTGAGATGTCTTTTAGGATGGGTCAAAAGGGGATCCTTCCAAACGTGGGAATCAGAATAACTTCTGGTTATAAAATTGTTTCCTACACCAGCGCTGAAGTCATTTTGGAGTTACTGGTGCCATACGCTGCTTTATCCAATAAGCTAGGAATTTAATTCAGGGCCTTGGGCATGCTTGCTTGACGAGATCTCCACTTCTTGATCACACCCACAGTCCCTCAGTCTATCTAAGAATTCGAATTAGGCGTAAAGACTCTCCAAGAAAAGCAATACTACCAAGACTTTTTAGTAATTTTTTCCAGTAATAATTTGTCTTTAAAGAAACACACGTGGGGCTGGGGAAATGGCTCATTAGGTCTCACTAACTTGATAACCTGAATCAGAATTCCCAGCTCTCATGTAAAAGCCACTGCAAATCCAGGACAGACAAGGCTGCGGAGGGAGGATCTATGCAACTTGTTGGCCAATTGGTCAGCCAGCCTAGCCAGAGTAGTAGGTGCTAGCTTCAGTGAGAGACCCTGTATATTTGGGGGGGGGAAGCCAAGAAGATATTGAGGAAAAAACCTGACACTGGCTTTTAGTTTCTAAATGCACACACTTGCACAGCACACACATACAGGCAAATTACAAACAACACGTCTTTATCGGAAAAAAAAATAACCGTTAAGTGTTACAGTTCTACTTTTCAGTAAAAGGACATTAGATGTGATTGGCACTGCTTTCCAGGTGGTAGGGATGTCTCAGGAGGTGGCTTTTGGTGCCTGTATGGGCTGAAACTCTGAGCTGTCTCAAGGTGACTTAGAAAGATGTGAGGGAGGGCATGGGAGGCTGGGGGAAGTTATAAACACTGCATTCAGAATGGGAACGAGAGTGGAAAAACCCCAGCAATGCAGTTAAGAGAAATAACTTTGCTCATTCATAAACCTGGAGAAGTCAAGGCTTCACCTGTAATTTTCCATTAGTGGTGTTTGCTCTGTGCAATTTCAGAACGCAAGTTAAACTCGCCATTTTCTTTTTCATTTGAGAGTGGAGGATGGAGGGAGGGGAAATGGGAAGGATGCTGAGGTATTTTCAGTCATACATAGCTCCTGGGTGGCATTGGAACTCTTTGGTCATTCACAACTTCTAGATGGTGTTGGTCTTTGCAAGGCTTACACTTGTTTCTGGAACTGTGGGTGTAGCTCATTTCACACCAGTGGTTACTGTCTAGATCGTGGGAAAGATTCGCATCCTGTGAATTTCTGGCAAGTGGTTCTTACAGAAGATAGTCTTGTGTGTACTCATCCTCCCCCTTGGTTCCTTATGAAGACCACAGTGCTTCTAAAGCTACTAGTTAGAGAAATTAAAATTAAATACTTTTTCCTCGCACACCAGTTGGGTACTGTTAAATGTATGTTGAGGATATCTGAATAATTTTTATACTCATATATTCTTCTTCTGAGACAGGAACTTGATATGTAGATCAGGCTGGCTTTGAACTCATGCAAATCACCTGTTCTGGCTCCAGAGTGCTGGGATTAAAAGCACTCATCAGCACTACCAGGCCCCTCCTTGAAATGTTTATCAAGTGTTCTTTAGGAGTACTCTGGGCATTTGAATTGATGCTAGTTGGTTCTCCTGTCAGTGTTTTATTTGCAGTTAAAGCACGTGCTTCAAACATTCATTTGCCCAAAGAGACAGAATGTCTGACTGTCATTGTCACAACCTATTGCTTTCAAGAACCCTTAGTTTGAAGAGGAAGTGCTGCTAAATCACTTTGGAACAGGAACAGGAGACTGGCATTAAGGTCTCCTGTTGTTAATATTCTCGCTCTACTTTGCTCTTTCTGTTGGTTTTCTCTACATAAGCTTCTGGGTCACGCATCTCATGTATACATGTATGTACCTGTGCTATCACACGTAATATCATATAGAGTATAGCCTGCTGTCCCTATCTTCACCTAGAGCTTTATACATAACTATGCCTTCTGCTTCGCTGGTGCTGGGGCCTGAGCCTAGCTGCCTCACTTTTTCACTGAGATCCCAGCCCACCTCTTTGGCTGCAGTTTTGGCTATCCCAAGGTCAAGAAAGTCCAATAACCTTGTGAACCTTTAAGTGATGACTGGACTCCATGTCCGTATGTACTTCCCATTTCCATCTTCCATCTGTGACTACAAGTACATGATGTGTTATTCTTACAATCAAAATTAAAGTTATTAAAATTCATTTTGGGGGACAGTTATGGAGATGTGAGGGCTATTGTCATTACACTGATTTCCCTTTTGCTTCATTTTAAATTATATTTAGATTCTTAAGAAAAATAAGTATACTAAACAGGTTTGTCAGGGATTAATTTTTCAGTGAAAACAAATGTAGGACCAGTGCCCTTTAAGATAACACAACAGAATGATATCAGATGAATTATCTAAGTGGAAATGTTGTTTGGAATATTAATAATGTAGTAGGGCTAGTTTATGATTAAACATGGGTTAAAAACTGAGTTAGGTAATGGTTTGCAGTCAACACTCTCCTAGCAAGGTCATAGAATAGGCGATGAAGTGGTAGCAAACACAGCCTAGACTCACTAATTTTAGTTTGCTTCTGCTGTGCCTTTTAATTTCCTATACCTAATAGTTGCCTCTGTCTGCCGAGGGACAAACCCTTAACTTAGGCAGATAGAACACTGATGAGATTAAAAACCAGGAATGCTGTTCATCGCCTTGCTTGATCACTGGTTTGCAGTCTGGGAGTTCATGTTGCTGTCTAGGTGTGAGGATTAAATACCACCGTGTTTATGGCCGGCACGGAACAGGCTCGCTTGGTTCACTACCTTCCTGCTCACCTGCCTGTCCCCTTATCTCTGGGATTGAGTCCTTCAGTATCTCTGTCATCTTGTCAAAGGACCCAAGGCTGCCAGCTTGAGTACATCGCCAAGTCTGGCACCAGAATAAGAGAGACCATTGGTCTGGTCCTCCACCTGCCCCAAGCTTTACCCTTCAAAGACATTCTGTCACTATACTCTTCCTTATTTTGTTTGCCTCTTATTAAAGAATTTGAAGAATTTAAAGAATTCCTTGGCTTAAAAAAAGTTGTACTTTCTGGGTCCACTATTGAATGAGCAAAATTCTAACCCCCTTTCTCCCTAAACTGTGCCCTTTCTAACTATGACTGTCCACCTCAGATCTGCAAAATACTGGACGGTCACTATACACCAGTGCTGACTACAGGACAAATGAAAGTCTTGTGAATGTGTACTGTTGCTTTTCAAATGCAGTTAGCGTGACAAATGTTCACCTGAAACTGTTTCTAAATTCAGAGAAGCATATTTGGTAATACGGGTAATTTCTTTCTTTCTTGGTTTGGCTTTTTTTTTTTTTTTAGATAAAGTTTCTCTGTGTTCTCTAACTCACTCTGTAGACCAGGCTGGCCTTGAACTCAGAGATCTGCCTGCTTCTGCCTCCCCAGTGCTGGGATTAAAGGTGTGTGCCACCACCTCATGGCAATGGGTGTAATTTCAATTGCCAAGTTGAATTGTAAAGTTTCTTGGTATAGTGAACTTAATGTGATATACAAACAGGATAATCTATACTTGCAGCAAATGGCTATGTCTCAATCACAAGCAATCTGCTGTCCAAGACATGTTCCAATAAGACAAGTAACTGGTGTAACCACGGGGGCTGTAGCTGGATCTCCCTTCCATTTCTTAAGTTATTTCCTTTTCACCATCTACAAATAGAATCTACCCCTGGTGGTGTGGAATAATCTCCACTTCTTTTGGTTTATATGGCTACTATAAAAACCACTACTCACAGACCCTAGTCTGACAGCTAGGGTACCAGCTTAGGACCGAACCAGAGCCCCTGAATGTGGGTGTCAGTTGGGGGGCCTGAGCAATCTATGGGGCCTCTGGCAGTGGATCAGTATTTATCCCCAGTGCACAAATGGACTTTGGGAGCCCATTCCCCATGGAGGGATACTCTCTCAGCCTAGACACATGGGGGAGGGCCTAGGTCCTGCCCCAAATGATGTGGCAGACTTTGATGATCCCTTATGGGAAGCCTCACCCTCCCTGAAGAGTGAATGGGGGGTGGAATGGGGTGCTGGTGCGGGGAATGGGAGGGCGGAAGGGAGAGGGAACTGGGATTGGTTTGTAAAATAAGATTGCTTTTAGTTTAAATAAAAACTAATAAAAAATATAACTCCATTAAAAAAAAACCACTGAGCCACAACACTACATTTGTCGTTGCTCTTGCAGAGAACTTGAATTTAGGTCCCAGATTGCAACCACCTAGATCTAGAGGATCCAACATCCTCTGAGGGTGCCTGTGCCACAATGGACACGTCACAGATACACACACACACACACACACACACACATACTCACATGCATACACGTGCACACACACAC